AAATCCAACAATGTCCTGTATACAAGAAACAACCTACTTGAAAAAGATACTCATGGACTGAAAGTAGAGGAATGGAAAACAGTTCTCCATGTGACAGGAACCTGGAAAAAAGCAGGGGTAGCAATTTAATTTACAGACAAAGTAAATTTCAAACCAAAATTAATTAAGAGAGACAAAGAAGGTCACTACATCCTTGTAAAGAGAACAATCCAAGAGGAAGAGATAATAATCATAAATATATGTGCACCAAATACTAATGCCCCCCAACTATACAAAACAAATACTGAAGGGCATGAAACACCAAATTAGCACTAATACAATTATAGTGGGGGACCTCAATATTCCATTATCACAAATAGACACATCACCTAGACTAAAAATCAACAACGAAATACTAGAACTGAACCAAGCTTTTGAACAAATGGAATTAAAGATGTCTACAGAGTGTTCCACAAAATCAGAATATACATTCTTTTGAGTTGCACACGGGTCATTTTCCAAAACACACCACATACTAGCTCATAGAACATGTTTAAGTAAATGCAAAGGAACTAAAGTTATCTTGTGTATATTATCAGAACATAGTGCAATTTATTTGGAGATCAATAGCATAAGAAACCATAAGAACTCCACAAACACATGGAAATTGAATAACACTTTCCTGAACAACCAATGGGTCACAGAGGAAATTAAAGAAGAAATTAGACAGTTTTTACAATTTAATGACAATATCAGTACAACATACAGGAATCTATGGGATACAATGAAAGCAGTTATATGTGGGAAATTCACAGCAGTGAATGCCCACAATAGGAAAACAACAAGCTCAAATTAACAACCGAATGGTGAATCTTAAGCTTCTAGAAAAAGAAGAGTAAGAGAAACTCAAAGTTTGTACAAGGGAGGAAATCATAAAGATCAGAGCATAAATCAATGCAAGAGAGACTAAGTGAATGATAAAAATCTGGTGGGTATCTTTAAATTAAAAGAATCATACCACAGTGAAATATGCGCACCAATGTTTATAGCGGCACAGTTTGTAATAGCTAAAACTTGGAAACAGCCCATTTGCCCATCAGTTGCAAACTGGATAAAGAAGATGTGGTTTTTCTATAAAATGGAATACTACTCAGCCATAAAGAATGAGATACTAGATTCATTCATAGGAAAATGGATATACATATTAAGGATATACTCCTAAGTGAAATAAATAAGTCACACATGTGCAAATACTGAATAGTTTCTCTGGTGTGAAAAACTATAATAGCACATAAGCTCCTAATGATATAATTGACCATGTGAAATAGGAAGAAAAGGGCTAAAGGTGTAGGGAAAATGGGAAGGGTAGGGGAAAGGTAATAAGGGAAAAGAAAAAAATATGACAAAATGAAAAAATGGAAATAAAGTGTTTGTAAATGGGGAAGGGAGGAGGGGCTGAAGGGAGGGCATGGACAAGGGGGAAAAAATGAGAACCAAAACCTGTCACGTAAAGGTACAAGATCCCAATAATGAACGTAATTGTACTGTGTACCTAAAATGTACCAATGAACTCAATAAAAGAAAAAAAAAATCAAGGAATTGAAGTGCTGGTTTTTCGAAAGAATAAAATCAATAAATCCTTAGCCAACCGTATCAAAAAAAGGAAAGAAAAGGCTCAAATTCATGCAATTAGGAATGAAAATGGTTAAGTCAGAACAGTTTCAGCAGAAATCCAAAGGATCATTGATACTTAAGAGAACTTGTACTCTAATAAAATGCAGAAAATAGAAGAAATAGATAATACATATGAATTACCAAAGTTGAACAAAGAACATATAAAAATTCTAAAAAACCCAATTACAATCAGTGAAATTATAAAACATAATTAAAAATTTACTAACAAAGAAAAGCCCAGGTCCTGATGGCTTCACTGCTAAATTCTATAAGACATTTAAAGAAGAACTACTGCCACTACTCTTTAAACTTTTCAATGAATTTGAAAGAGCAGCAATACTTCCAAATTCATTCCTGGAAGCAAGTATTACTTTGACTCTAAAAGCAGGGAAAGACCCAACCAAAAAAGAGAAGTATAGGCCAATCTCCCTAATGAACATAGATGCAAAAATCCTCTATTAGATACTGGCAAACAGAATACAGAGGATCATCAAGAAGATTATATACCGGGGCCAGGGATTAAGCTCAGCGGTTTGGTGGCCTGCCTTGCAAGTGCAAGGACCTGAGTTCAATCCCCAGTACCAAAAAAAAAAAAAAAAAAGATTATATACCCTGACCAAGTTGGATTTATCCCAAGGATGCAAGTTGGGGTCAACATATGTATTTCAATAAATGTAATACACTATATTAACAGAATCAAGGACAAAAACCATATGATCCTCTCAACAGATACAGAAAAAGCATTCAACAAAATTCAACACCCATTCATGATAAAAACCCTACAGAAAATTGGAATAGATAGTCTTTATTTCAACAGCCAACATCATACTAAATGGTCAAAATCATGAAAACCTTCATGCTAAAATCAGGTATGAGACAAGGATGTCCACTATCACCACTCCTACTCAATATAGTTTTGGAAACATTAGCTACAGTAATTAGACAAGAGAAAGAAATAAACGCAATGAAGATAGGAAAGGAAGAAGTGAAACTGTCATTATTTGCTAATGATATGATACTCTACACAGAAGACCCAAAGGACTCCTCTAAAAGACTTCTAGACTTAACTGACAGATTCAGTAGAGCAGCTGGATACAAGGTAAGTACTCAAACATCAATAGCCTTCTTGTACACAAATAACAATCTCACTGAGAGTCATTAGGGAAATAACCCCTTTCACAATAGCATCCAAAAAAAAAATCTAGGAATCAACCTAACCAAGGAGACAAAAGACCTGTACACTGAAAATTACAGCACTCTTAAAAAAAGAGGTTAAAGAGGATATTAAAAAAAAAAAAATGGAAAAACATCCCTTGTTCTAGGGTAGGAAGAAATAATATAGTGAAAATGGCCATACTTCCAAACTGCTATGCAGATTCAAAGCAATCCCTATTGAAATCCCAACAGTTTATTTCATAGAACTAGAGAAAACAATCCAAAAATTCATTTGGAATCACAAGAGACCTAGAATAGCAAAAGCAATTCTAGGCAACAGAGATATGGCAGGGGAAATCACAATCCCCAATTTGAAAATATACTACAAAGCCAGTGTGATAAAAACAGCATGGTATTGGCAATGAAACAGACCCGAGGATCAGTGGAATAGATTAGAAGATACAGAAATATCTCCTGACATACTCAACTACTTCATCTTTGACAAAGGAGCCAAACACCCTCTCTGGAGGAAAGACAGCCTCCTTAATAAATGGTGTTAGAAAAACTGGATTTCAACTTGCCAAAAATTAAAATTAGACCCATATCTTTCACAGCATGCACTAAACTAAAATCCAAATGGATTAAAGATCTAAATATTAAAAGAAACATCAAACTTGCTGAAATATAAGTTAGATAGAATTCTTGAAGATATCGGCATGGAAAATACTTCATGAACAAATCCTCAGTAGCAGAGGAACTAGCACAAAGAATCAATAATTGGGATCTTATGTTTTTAAAAAGCTTCTGCAGTGCCAGAGAAATCACAAGCAGAGCTAACAGACAACCCACAATGTGGGAAAAATTTTTTACCAGCTGTTCCTCAGACAAAGGTCTACTATCTAGAGTATATAAAGAACTCAAAAAAATTAAGCCCCCCAGAAATAAAGATCCAATTCAAAAATGGGCATCTGAAATGAACAGACATTTCTCAGATAAAGAAGTAAAAGTAGCAAATAATCATATAAAAAATGTTCAACACCACTGGTAATTCCAGAGATACAGATGAAAACAATACTGAGATTCCATCTCACCCCAGTAAGAATGGCTGCTATCAAGAAATCAACCAATAGCAAATGCTGGCAGGTGTGCGGGCAAACAGGAACCCCTCTCTCCATTGTTGGTGGGAGTGCAGACTGGTGCAACCACTGTGGAACTCAATATGGACACACCTTGAACAACTACAACTGTAAGTCCCATTTGACCCAGCTATTCCTCTGCTGGGTATCTTCCTGAAAGAATTAAAAATACCACAGTGATATATGCTCACCCATGTTTACAGCAGCATAGTTTGTAATAGCTAAAACTTGGAAACAGCCCAGGTACCCATCAAATGGAGACTGAATAAAGAAGACATAGGTTTTTTTATAAAATGGAATACTAGTGAGCCATAAAGAATGAGAAACAAGAGAGATTTGTAAGTAAGTGAATGTACATGGAGGCCATACTCTTAAGTGAAATTAATGATACACACGTGTAAATACCAAATAGTTTCTCTGGTGTGAAAAAGCAAAGTGTAAATAAGGATTAAAATGTATAACTGATACTGTGCAATAGGAAGAAAAGTCTGAAAAGAGTAGAGGAAGTGGAAGGGGTAGGGGAAAGGGAACAAGGGAAAAGAAAAAATATGTGAAAAAGCAAAACATGGAAACATTGTCTTTGTAAACAGGGAAGGGTGGAGGGGCTGAAGGGAGGGCTGCAGAATGGGGAAAAATAAGAACCAAGGTAAGTCATGTAAAGGTACAACATCCCAATGATGTATGTAAATGTATTGTATACCTGGTATGTACCAGTAAATTTAATAAAGATTTTTTTAAAAAGAAAGTATATATCTACAAGTGTATATAAGGGGAGAACCTGAAGGCTCTGTCACACAGATTTTTCCAATCAAAATCAACTTCTGACTCCCTACCTTCCTTAGTAACTGGTTCTTCCAAATGATGAGCCTTTTAGAAGTTTCTGAAGGATACAGTATCATACTTCCTGTGAGTATCATCTTACATTTATGAGTATTATGACAGTTCTTCTGGTGAGTCAGTTAACACCTGTCTACCTTCCTTCATATTCCAGAAAAATAGAAATGTCTTTCTCTTGTAATTGTGCCTTGTTTTCTTCTGTTTCTTCTATTTTGATAGCAATTGGAAGATAAAGATACAATCAATCTCATTTTTAGTCCAAAGTCCTGACACAGTTCTTTTGAAAACAGCAATTTCAGGACCATGAATACAGGATCATCATAAGCACTTAGTATTTCTCAAAGGATGATCACAAAACTTCATCAAAATCTACTGAACTGCTCATCCAACACAAGTATATGCTGGTGGGTTCTGCTTTTATTGTTAAATGAAAATCAAACTGACACTGTCTCAAACCTCCTAATAAGCAGCTTCCCAATGAACTTAGAATAAAAGCCAATCCTTCAGAGCCTGAAATGACATTGCCTGTGTGTGCCTACCTCAAATCTCATTCAATACCATTCTCTCCTGCCCATTCACTCTCACTACATCCTAGCTATTTGGCCTTCTGTTCATTCTTTGCCCATCAACAAGTTTATTGCTATCAGAACCTCTGCATTTACTTGCTGTTTCCTCTGCCTGTAACATTGTTCTTCTAGCTCTTTACATGGCTCCTTCTCATTCTTCAGAACTCACTTCAGAGAAACAAAATGCAGTAAATCCATACAATAATTCAACTTTGAAAAGTAAGGAAATTCTGACACATACTACAGATGGATGGACCTTGAAGATATTATGCCAAATGGATATGTCACAAAAATACAAATACAGACAATCCTTATTTAACAAGTGAGCTCCATTCCTGCAACCAGGTCATTAAATGAATTGGTCGCTAAATGAGTAACTGTATAGAGTATGTGCATTATAATATTAAGAACAAAGAAACAGTCAAAGTAAACTCCAATTTGATGACTTCACCTTTATTTTTCTAACTCTTACATCTAGTTCTGTAATGCATAATGGAGCATAAACTATAAAGTACTATATTGTACTGTACAATTATAGTACTGTATAAACAAGGTGTAGGGTACAAAAAAGACATTGAGGCTTTATAAAAGATGTACAGAACTGTACCCAAAACATGGGTTACAAATCCAAGCAATGGGTCCTAAGTCTGAATAGCACATCTTGGTCCTAAGTCCAAACAGTCCTTAAACAGCTAAGTTGTTAAAGTAGGATTATCTGTATTAAACATACTATCAAAACAGTTCAATGAAAATGGTTTTTCTTAAGAGTTTTCTTAAGTGCTCTCCAGTAACTTTTAAAATAAATACAGCAGCCACCAACAAATCACATAAGGTGAGTTCAAGCAATATTGATCTCTCACATGTCAGAAAAGTCAGGGATGAAAATTATTCAGGAAATCCAGGATACCTTTTGATACGACCATAATATAGAAAGTGCTCATCAATAACCATGACTGTGAAATGAATGCAATGCAGATATGATCTTCAGCATATCAATAAGGCATCTATTCCTGTACTTCCTCACATGCCCTTTCCTGGCATCTTAGCAGCATCCATGAATTCTTCAAGATTACATTGATCACACAGTTGATATTACTGGAAGCTATGTTTTGAATGTGCAATTTTGGCTCATTAAGTGAAGGAACTTCTGCAGGTCACTGCAAGGGACCAAGGAAACTAAAATACTATTAATAAGACATCACAGAAACATGAGTGTGCTTGACTCTGTAAAAATCACTGAAAATGTCAAATATCCTTGACAGTAAGATTGGCATTAATGGAGCCACTGCTCTGTCTGCCTCTGCAGCACATAAGTAGGAGGATAGGAAAATATATAAAGTATGTAGTAAAGGAGCTTACTAGCCAGAACATAAGAAAAAAATGCAACACATAAAACCATCACAGAACTAAAAATAATAATAACTAATCATTCGATTGTTTCCTGTGGTTAAGTATATATAACCCTTGAGAAAAAATGTGCACCAATATGAGACATTTCTACATATCAAAAAATTTCAAAGGTAATATCACTTTTAAAAAGTTTATATCTGAGATTTACCTTAAAATTAATCAGTTTTATTACCACCTGAGGAACTGCTGGAAGCAAATAGTCTTTAGAAATAAGCCCAATAAAAAGAGTGCACTGATAAATTTTTCTGGCCCTTTGGCACAGCTGTTCTATCTGCATCATATGTGACCAACAGGCCTCATAAGATCAGGCTACAAATCACTCCCTTTTCCATCAAAGCAGCAAAACCATATACTGTATGAGGTTGCCTGTTTTGCCTCAATATCCAAAATACGCCAGGTACCTTATTTCTCCCCAGTATCAGATATTACCTATAGAAAGAATAGTTACTTTTTAAAACATGTCTTTTCATGAATGCTGTGTTTCTTTGCACAACATGCTTAGTGAATGTGCCTCAAATAAAACAGACACCAGGCATTCCTCATTTCACAGCCAGGTTCTGTTCCTGTCACGAGGTCATTAAATGAACTGGTTGTTAAATGAGGAATTATATATAGTGTGTACATTACAATATTCAGAACAAAAAAATGGTCAAAGTAAACTCCAACTTGAGTTTCACTTTTATTTGCATAACTCTTACATCCAGTACTGTAATGCATGATGGAGAAAAAAACTACACAGTACTATACTGTGCAGTACAATCAGCAAAAATTAGTGTTGTATAAACATGGTATACTGTTCCAAAAAAAGACGCTGAGGCTTTGTAAACAAGATGTACAGAAGTGTACAAAAAAAAGACAGGTCTTAAGTCCACAAACAGTGTGCCTCAATCATAAGTCCAAACAGTTGTTCAACAGGTAAGTTGTTAAGCAAGGAACTGTATTTTATGATTTCACTTCATGAGGTATCTAGAATAGTCAAATTGAGAGAGAATAGTGGTTTTGAGAGGCTGAGAGGAAATGGAGAACGGGGATTTATGTTTATTCAATACTTTCAGTTTTACAAGATACTCTAGTATGATTTACCCAGTGACAATGAACAGTACACTTAAAATGGTTAAAATAGTTAACTTTTAAGTTTTATATATTTTACCACAAGTTTAAAATTTCCTTTTCAAAAGCAGAGTTTAAAAAGAGAAGAACCTCTTTCAAGATCACTCCATGCAAATTTATCTCCTTCCTCTGCTAGGATAACTCTAGCAAATACCATGGTTTGCTTTCTTAATAGCACTTAACCACTGTACAAAATTATCGTGTTTATTTAATTACTTGTTTATTATCTCTGTCCTCCAATTAAAAAGCAGGCACCCGGGACACTTTCTAACCCTACCTGCAAAATAAAATTCAATAAACATTTAGTGGATAAATGAATTAACTGGCTTTCAGGTCCCAATACAGGACTACTGTATGAGAATCTGCAATTATCAGACACTAATTTAGAAGAATAGAAAACTTGCTATTTATGACCCAAATAGCACCTTCTCCACCCATGTAAATCAGAAGAACAAAACTGACCCTTATAACCAAAATTCTCTGCTCTTATCAGAGAAGGCCCATTTGCTTTGGACTGGAGGGTAGAACAGTGGAAAATGGATGAATAAAAGAGTTTCTAATATTTTCATATAGACATGGTGTACAACATTTCTCTTTAAATGATTTAACATATACAGCTAGAAAATGGGTTTCCATATCATAAAATGCTTAATGATCTATTTCAATATGTAATTCAAATGTTAGGTTAGCAAACAAAACAAACCTTTTGTTTATGTGCTTGACTTTACCTAACTTCCTACAGGACTTTGTTCTATTATATTCTCTCTCTTACGTTTCAATTTCACCTGGATAGTTCTATCTCTATTGCTCATTTCTGGGGAGCAAAGAAATGTATTTATCACCCTATTCTAAGAATTATTCACATGCTTTTACTGCACACTCAACCTCCAATCCTTTCTATTTCCCTTCAATACATCCAACTTCTTAGAACATCTACTTTCTCATTTCTCATTCACTCCTCAGTAATATGATGGCAGTCAATGCCTACACAACAATTGTGTTCTTAGCACTCTTGTTATTCATCATACATTCCCCATCTGTTTAAACTTCTCCTTCAGATGACTTAAATTTTTTTCATTGTTAAAGGACGAATGAATGGAGGATATTGAGACCCAGGACTGGGTGTGAACCTGGCTTCCACACTGAGCACACTTTTCTGAACTGGTTGATTCAGGAATAGGTAAGTCTTGCAAAGGCATACGTAAACTAGAACAGGGCACTATTCTCATTCATCTTTAGACCTCTTAGCCCTGTATGCTGGCACATGGTAGACAGTATCAGGAAAGGTCAGGAGCGAGGGGTCAGAAGAAAAGAAAAAAATACAAGAACAAGTTTTACTCATCTCTTTATTCCAAAGTACTAATCCAAAAGGCTAACTGTAACAGAACCTCAATTAATGTTTGGGGAATCTAACTGAATATAATACACTATAGCTTACTGCAAGGGGCTGTTTTGTTTCATTTAATTTCATTGAATTTCACATTTAAAATATATGCATAGGGCCGGGGATTTAGCTCAGCAGTTCGGTGGCCTGCCTCGCAAGCGCAAGGACCTGAGTTCAATCCCCGGTACCAAAAAATAATAATAATAAAATAAAATAAAATATATGCATAGGGCCGGGGATTTAGCTCAGCAGTTCGGTGGCCTGCCTCGCAAGCGCAAGGACCTGAGTTCAATCCCCGGTACCAAAAAATAATAATAATAAAATAAAATAAAATATATGCATATACATTAAAGCTTTGGCTATAAAAAATATACTGTTAATTATAGCTTTAATGGTTGACTTATTAAACAAATTCAGTTTTATAAAATATTAGGATGTGAAACTAATACACTTTAGTATTCCTCAACTTCCAAATTGGAAAGGACAGAAAATAGGGAAAGGAACAGGAAAGAAACATGCTAAAGTTGGAGAAAATATGAAATGGGGGGGGTAAGAAGGATAATACTTTAGTCTGGAGATAGGATGGTGAAACACTTCCATAAATTGTCTTCATAACTTTTAGATCTATGAAGAAATTGTCATAAATTTTTATAGTTTCAAAAAGCTTTTTCTGATTTCTATTTCTCTTAAGGAAAAAGAAAATATTTTAAAATTTAAAAACAAAATATGCTCTTTACACTATTTCAGAGGAAAACTGTCTAGCATTTTGGGGCTTGGGGGGAAGAGGATGATGGTGATGCTACTGGAGATTGAACCCAAGGCCGCTGCACTGAGCTACATTCCCAGTTCTTCCTATTATTCATTTTGATACAGGTCTCAGTACAACACAAACAATGCTCCTGTATTACAGGCACATAACATCATCACTCACTGCCTTTTAGATTTCATACATTAACAAGATTAAACTAAGTGCCATCTTCAACAGTGTTCAGAAATCCCCCTAGCATTGTGTATATTTTTCTACTTCCCGTAGTATTGCTAGTGATAAAACTGCTAAACTTCCTGCTGCTACAAAAAAAGAGTCCACTTTCTTCAAATTTCCAGTAATATTTTTATTTTCTACATCCCTTTAAGACTCCACTCAAAGCCTTCCCAAAGACCAAACTTATAGTCAATTCTAGGCTCTTCCAGCTTTCCCTACAAGCTTGTACCCACTATTGAATTCCAAAGATAATCCCACATTTCTTTTATAGCAAAACAAAACCACTCTGAGCTCAAAACCTATACTACCTGTTGCTACATCACACAATACCCCGAAAGTTAGCCCTTTAAACACAATGAACCTTTATTGTATAGTTTCTGTGGGTTAACAGTGGCTGAGCTGGATGGTTCTCTCAGAAGACTGCAGGCACTATTGAAGACCTGGGCTACAATCACCAAAAGGCTCTGCTTGCGTTAGCTTCGCTTCCAAAATTCTTGCTCCCATAGCTGAAGAGTTAATTATGACCTCTGGTTTATAATTTGCAGTAAGTGAGAAACGAAGCTTCATGGCCACTCTACCTTCACATGGCTCAAGATGATGTTTTCCCAAGTACACCAGATCGAATTGCTGAACCAGCATACCAACAACTTATCTCTTGGGCTTTAAATCACAAAATTTAAGCAATTCATAGTTTCACAGCAATTTTATGGGTAATCAATCAGCTGAAAGCAGTCTTAATAACATAAAACTCAGTGGTGATTATCAAAAGCTGAAGAACTCAAGTCATCTTCCACTAGACCCCTAAACCAAAGATTCAGGGTCTTAATGCCAACATAACATGGTAGACAACACCTTGTTTCTGATACTAACCTTAGTACTGCTACAAAATCCATGATTTATGTTTTAAATAAAAAAATGTTTAAGAGATTCAATAAAAATTAGAAATAAAAGATAAAAATTATCTGAAACGTAGAGTAAATGAAAAGAAAAGAACTAGAAAAATATGCAGACAAAGTAAAAAAATAAGAGCTAAGCTAAAAGCCACTCACAGGGGAAAAAAGTTTGTATCAAATAATAGGAAACATGAATCAGTGAAAAAGATGACAAACTATAAAAATCCACTGAGAATGAGGGGAAAGGGAAGATAAAAATTAAGAAGAGATAAGTGATAAATAGGGAGGACAGGTGAATACCCAAAGAAAACAAGCCCCTACGCCAATGTGATAAAGCCATAAATTCACTGCCATTCTTCCTGTCAAGAGATGTGACTGTATTTTTCTTCCTCTTGCATCTGGATTGGTGAATCCTGTGATTAATTTGCCAAGTAAGACACTGGAACATTGTGCCACATTTGGAAGCAGCCTCTAAGAGACCTAGCAGCTTCTACTCTTAAGTGCCAGTCACATACTTTAAAAAGGCCAGGCTGCCCTGCTGGAGAAAGGCAAGCTGGAAAAGAACTGAGGCATTCTCAGCCAGCACTCGCACCAAGAACCCAAACAGGGAGCAAGCATTTTAAAGTCTTCCAATTCATTCCAGCCAAGCTCTAAGAGCAGCCTACAGGTGACCCTACATAAGATCACCAAAAGAATCATGGAGTCAGACCACAGAATCAGGAGAAATATGTTATTGTTAAGTCACTGAATGCAGCAGATGACTGACCATTCTACAGATATTTCTATAGTATGCAGGATAAAGCTTGTTTCAAAGAGCCTGTCTAAAAAATAACAGCTTTTCCATTTCTATCATTTACTTACTTGAAAAAATATTCTAAATTTTATCCACAAATTAAATCAGTCATGGAAGATTGAATGCTACAGTTTAAAATTATCTCCAAATTTTACTGACATCTACTTTAAAATATTTTAAAACATATTCCAATTATGTAAAGGTGTTCACATTCCTTGATACATTCATTCAACGTTTGGGAACTTACAACACACCAGGCATTAAGAGAGGCAAAGATGAAAAAAGGAAAATATTGAGAATGGAAAGTAGGTTAATAATTTATCACTCCTCCAAATTTTACAGAGTAGATCTCTACCTATATTGTATGTCCTAGTCTGCACTTTAACAAATCTCTATTTGGTAGAAATACTAACAGAAATAGCAGCTAACATTTATGGAAACTGCCTTAGTTCTGAGCCTTTTATATAATTTAACTGAGTTCATCTTCACAATAATCTTCAAAGAGGTAAGGAGGTACTAACATCACCATTCCAAAGATAAGGAAACTGACTGACTCATTTGAAAGTCTTTTTTCCCCACTAGACTTTAGGCTTCTTGAGAGCAGGTGACCTGTGCCTGTTCATCTTACTATCCTCTCAAATCTCTCCTACCATACATGCTTCTCTACAAGTACATACAGAAGTTAGGCCATCCTTATATAGAAATAGATATGCTCATTTACTACACAAAAACAATTTTCCACTCCTCAAAAATGTAAAGCAATTTTGCTCGGTGGTTCGGTAGCCTGCCTTGAAAGCGCAAGGACCCGAGTTCAATCCCCAATAAAGCAGTAAAATTTATTTGGACTAAGAAAAAAATGGCTTTGTTAAATAAATATCCCTAACTGGTAAATAAATAAATAAAAATTCATTGATTCATTGTTAAACATAACTGAAAACAACTTTTATAAACAAGTCCAATTTGTCAGTTATACATCTTATTCAGTACTATTTTAATGGAAGTCCATAAATATCACAGTGATAATTATACAAAATAGGATTATATAGTTTTTATTGAAGAAATTCATGGAAGACTAATAAGTAAGGGATAATACTTATTAAAATATGTGGTTTTGAGAAAAATCCAAGTAAACATAACACCTAATACTTCAAACTATGTAATTTGAATATGTGGGGCTGAATCATTATCTAGATTGGCATAGTTGAAATCATTTTCACTACATTTTATGATTTAAGAACAAAACAGAAAACTCTTACATAATTATCTTGATACTTTTGCATTCTTACAATCAGATTACTGGCTAGAAATTGAAATTTGGATTCTGCAAAGAGAACAAAACCATTTTTAAAATTTTATCTCTAATTCATGGTCACTTCAAAATATCAAACTTTTTTCTAAGAAAGGAGCTCAACTGGGGCCAGGGATTTAGCTCAGTGGCTGGACCTGAGTTCAATCCCAGGTAAAAAAAAAAAAAAAAAAAAAAAAAAAAAAAAAAAAAAAAAAAAAAGAGAGAAAGAAAAAGAAAAAGAAAGGAGCTTAACCTACAAACAGACAAAATGACATCTGAATAATCTCCATGTAATAAATTTTAGACACTGCTTCTGTGCCAAATGTTCAATATAACCTCCAGAAAGACCACCACCTTTCCAAGAAACCTAATTGTAAAATGAAATACAAACATTATAGTCACATTTAGCAAAACCTTTTGTGGCAGATATTAGTAGCTGGCAAACACAATAATTACCAAGCACTTCACCTCTGTCATTGCCACTACAGAACTTGAAAGTCAAATACTCACTTTCTCACATTAGGGGTGGTACATAATCCAGCTCCGGACGACAGGATATAAAAGGAAATCTGCTAGTGACCATCCGAAAAAGCTTTGGCTTTCCTGATATCAAGGACAGTGTGGCTGGCAACAGCCATAGCTTATCTTGAAAAGAGGTGTAATGCTTAATCCTACAGCCATCTTGAAACCCTAAAGCAACATCTATAAGTATAAGAATGAAAAATCAACTGGGCATGGTGGCACTGCCAGTGATGTCAGAACTCTGGGGATTCCAATCTAGCCAACTCAGTAACTTAACAAGACTTCAACTCTAAACAAACAAACACAAATAAGTAGGGC